CAGTTTTTCCAATCTGAAATTTTCTATTAATCTATAGAAAAATAAGTTTCAAAGAAAAATATCTACAATAGTTAATTTTTTATTTTTATATTATATAAGTATTTAGAATTTTAAATTTATTCAACCTATGATGATGAGTATAAACGAGCTTTCTATATTTTTGTAAGCCATGAAACAAGCTGGCTAATATTTTCAAATTTTATCTAAAAGGGAAAGCTCATAATTATGGTGGGTTGTTTCGGCAATCCTCTGCCGACGATACAATTTTTCCATTTTAGAATTAAATACTTTTCTCCCACGTTAAATATGAAGTATTTACCTTCCACTCAATTTTGCCAGCTTTAATTGAAGTACCTAATTGGGCTGCTTCCTCATCATTTCTTAAAATTACACAATATTATATTTTCCTCTAAATAATACTTTGGCGTAGGAGGTGGTTTGACTTTGGGTGGTGAACGTGGAGTGGAACATTTATTAAGTGGAACAATAACTTCGGCTTTTTCTCCATGTTTTTGAGCATTTTCTGTTGTTGGTCTTTTGTGTTGTTCTCCCTTAAATTTTATTAATTTTTAGTTTGATGGAACTATACTAAAAAGGAAAGTAACTCAAAATGATCAAATTTGCATGTTTTGGAGAATCCTACTAATGTCTTATCAATAGGGTTAGGATTTATATGGACTATGAATCGGACTGAGACGAGAGCTCGATCAAAAATCTCGGTTTCGAGATGAAGAATTTTTCTATATCTCGATTCTCGTACAATGCTCCTTGTCAGACAAAGGGAGCGTCGAAATCGAAACCGTATGTATTCTAATATAATGACATGTCGTTTTATTTTTCAACCCTCTTCTAGAGTGTCGTTTTATTAGAGACTGTCGTTATATTAGATTAATATATTAGAATGCCTTTTGGCGTTAGAATCCCCAAAAAGGCCTGTGAAATAAGCTGAAAGTTATCTATTCCTAATCTATTCCCTACTTATCAAAATTAAATTTTACAATTTTAATTTCTCCTTTCTGCTCCAAATAACGCTTTTCTCTCCTCTCATTTCGAGCTATTCGCCTTTGCTCTCTCCGCAGTAAAAAGTGTTGATAGTCTATTTGCCGTGCCAAGCATTGAGAAAGACAAACAGTTACACACTTAAATTAATTATGGAAAGTTGTTTTAATTTCACAAATTATAATGTTTAATGATTAATAGCTAAATAACGTTTAGCTTCCAAAAATAAATCGAACAAAATTGTGATGTAATGATTAAAATTTCTTTCTGTTTTGTTATAAAATCATAATAAATTATTTATGTATATTAAACGAAAATCCAAATCCAATTTTTGCTTAATATGTATAAATAAGCTGTTGAAACTTTATAATAGAAAAGAAAAAAAGAAATTTTACCGATTAGCTTCCGTTCTTTCATTTATTATTTTTGCGAGCTAAAGTTTATTTAGCTATAAATTATTTCAGAAAATTATTTACAAGATACATCACTTAAGATAATTATAAGTTTCAAATTAAACTCCTATTCTCCTCAATAAAAGTTATTTTAAATTAATTCAAAACAAACCACTGGGAATATAATAGAAAGTACAATCATTCCAATATGTAAAGCATGTGAATCAAATAATGTGCGCAACGGCTGGAGACATCCAAGAACATAAATATCCTTTAAAATAATTGTAAAAATTAGGAACAAATGAACAAAACAATTAATTGAAGGCTTATATGTATCAGGGATCTAGCCAACCCGATTCCCGAAAATCGGGAAAGCTTTCCCGTCGATCCCACCTTTTTTTAATTTTATGCTTATTTTCGGCCAATGGCTTGAACACAAAACTGGGTATGTGTTCAGCCGCCTCTTGTCTATATAACCCATTTTGATGGAGATATATCAGAGTCAAGAACTTGCAATGCCAAAATGCTTAATGCTGCTGGATCCAGGAAATTATGAATGTCAGATCCAACACTCTATTAACCCTAGATTAAATCATTTAGTAAAAACCAACAGAATCTAATTCCTGTTCTCTCTTCTTCTTAGCATTTTGCCAACACTGAATTGAGCGAATTGCAGGTGTGAGAGGGTTAACTTCACCGGCACCCGCTCTCGAAACCACAGATTTTCTACAACAAGAATATGGCACTCCACAACTTAAAAATTCAAATATTTTTAAATAAATTATTTTTTAAAACCGTTCAGGATATGGATTTGAAGCGTTACATTTAAATTGTTCACTAAATTGCCAATCATGGAAAGTTGTACTCCCACAACATTCAAGCTGTAAAATTTTAGTTTTATTTAATTTTGATTATTTTTATGAGGTTGATACAGATATTCATTTTATTTTGCCATGTTTCTCCAGATTAGCTAAATCCTGTTTAGCTTGCAAAAATAAAATACGCATTAAAAAAATAATATTCCGGTAGTTAAAGTTTTTTCGGTTTATAATCATGGCTCGGAAAGTTTAATCATATTGAGCAAACCCAAATTTAAATTCAGAATGCACCCATAATATTAAATTAATTCCAAAATTCTTGATAGTTATAACGAAAAATCTCAAAACTTAGGCGCAAGATGTTTTGATTTTAAGGAACAAATAAAGGAGTTAGATTAGCTAACTTATTTAGCTTACAAAAATAAACGAAGCTTTTGACCATATAAATATTTCCGGTTACTTAAAGTTTTTTCAGTTTATAATTATGCTTTAAAAGTTTAATAATATTGAGCATAAAAATCCTTTTAAGATTTGATTTTAAGAATGGTTAAGATTAATTCAAGTACATTCATATTCTGTAGTGGAAAAGATGATATTGGGTAATTGATACAGGTTGCATTGATAGAAAACTCGTTAATGTGCTAACTCAGAAAATTATCTTACATTTTTATCACTAAAGCTACTTCCTGCCGGTAATCTACGATCTAAATGGCTTCATATGCCTTGCAATATTCTTTTGGTTTGCTTTTTAATTTTCTCTAAATTATTCATGTTTAATATTTTTTGATAACAAAATTAATTATCTAAATAATATAATTTAAAATTATTTCATTTTTATATAAATTTCACGATAAAGGGAATTATGTTCCCGTGTTTGAGAAACCATTGTATTTTTGGAAGTTAAAGCTTGCTTTAGCTAAAATTAATTTTCAAATTTTTCTGAAAGGTATCACATTAGCTCAATGCTTTTTAAATCTAGTTTAATTGCCACTTGATTTACGTGGCATCCAAAAAATTACACAGCAACAAGAGTATTTGAGAATTACCGACTCGTTTCATACTTGAATAAAGCTATTGTTTAACTTAAAATTAGATATTGCGTATTCATAATGTAGCTTTCAATTTCTGAATAAAATTAAAAAATCTAAGACAATTTCTTTACAATTTAAAGGCTATCTACGAATTTTGTATTCTCACTTTTGGTGTAAATCGTTTGTTTGTAGCTCGAAGCCTAATTATTGGACCTCAATTAATGACAATGTTTCAATGCTTCTGTTTCACTTCCCCATTCCTTTTACTTTTTGCTTCTTCTTTTGTTTTAATGGCTGCTATTGCTATAGACAGGCTTATTTCTGTTGTTCTACCTATCACGTAAAAATTTTTGAATTTAGAAATTTTTGATTTTTGTCTCAAGCTTTAAGATGAAGATATACAATCTTGTGGAGGTTTATGAGTCTATTTATTATACTCTAGTAGTTAACTATGCCCCAATCGCTCCACATACCCAAATCGCTCACTCCATTTGGTCACCTGTCAAATTAAACCTGAGCCTATAGGGGGTATTTTCTTTTGAATTTCCGACAATCCTATGGGATTAAAGGGGTTTTAAGCCCATTAATCATCCATATTTTTTGGTTGGTACAACCCAAATCGCTCACCCCATTTGATGAACTGTCACATCAAACCTGAGCCTATAGGGGGTATTTTCTTTTGAACTTTCCGACAATCCTAAGGGATTAAAGGTGTTTAAACCCATCATTTTTGTTTTGTTTCAACCCAAATCGCTCTCCTCCAGAAATTCACTCCTTTTGATGCCTTTTTTATTTGATTATGCCGCCGATCTACACCTACTGAAGAGGTTCATCTGAAATTAATAAAGGAGGGTAATTAATCATATTTAAAATGATTAATTACCTTTTGAAGGTAGATGGTGATAGCATGTCAATCAGAACCTTCAAGTAAATAGAAAACATCTGGAGAACATCTGGGATAAGTACTAATAGAGAAGTTGAAAGCGAAATAGTGCGCTATGCTGGACTCTAGAGTAAAATTTACTTGTTAGAGAACATCTGGGATAAGTACTAATAGAGAAGTTTAAAAGCGAAATAGTGCGAAATGTTGGACTCTAGAGTCTCAGTTCATTTTTTCAAAGTTTGTCCAAAATGACTGGAAGTGCAAATTCAAGGGTTTAACTCATTATTTCGAAATATCACTTTTAAAATGTCAAGCGACAAAATGCCAACTTTCAAAATGTCAAGCGACAAAATGCCAACTTTCGAAATGCCAAGCGACAAAGGCATGGCAATACTAATGTGCGTCCGCACACACTATTCTGGGTTAAAGTTAAGATGATAAGATAAATTTGCCGTAATTTAAGAACAAATATAAATTTCATTCAAAATTAAGAATAAGAAGATACAATTAATGCAAAGCTAATGGAAAGAAGGTACAATTAATACAAAGTTAACCAATGGAAGATGCAGGTTTTAGGGGTAAAAATGCAAAGTTAAGCGTTAGGAGATACAATTAATGCAAAGTTAAGCATAGAAAATACAATTGATGCAAAGTTAAGAGAATATCAAATATTTAAGTAAAAATAGGCAAAAATGATGGGGTGCGGTTGTACCTCATCTGAAAATTAAAATTCATTCATAATAAAAAATCATTTAAAATAAACATTCATTACTTAGTATTGAAAAATAAAATATTGCTATTTAAATTAAAAATTTCTTAAAAACAAAGCATTTGAAAAATCTTTAATACCTTCTTCATTACACCAAATAATTTTAAAATGTTTATATTTTCAATAATATTAATATCTATTATGTCCTTAGTGGTAGACAGTTCGGAAAATAAACCCAGGAAGAGAGAATTAGTGACAACATTATTTCGGAAAACACCACTACCAATCTGGCGGAGAACACCTCCACCAATATTTCCTAACAGATATGAAAATAAATTAACGGAAATACCAATATGGCGTAGAACACCAGTACCGATATTCCCTAACAGAAATAAAAATAATTCAGTGGAACTACCAATATGGCATAGGACACCACCGCCAGTATTTCCTAATAGATCTGTAAATAATTTGTCATTGTTTCAACAAGGCTATAAATCTGCGAATAAAACTGATGGAGTCTCTAGTTTATTTTTCAAGAAATGGTTTGTAAAAGATATCTATCATCTGAAGAAGAGTGATATAGCAAGAGAAATTGAAATAAAAAATATGGGTCGTTGGATTCTACGTTGGGACCTTTGGGACAACAAGTTCAAATTTGGAAAACATAATAGAACAGATTACATCATGTATTCAAGATGGCGATTCTTATATGAACCCCCGATTTCAAATATTATAGATTTTTTCAAAAATTTTTAAATCATTTTTACTAATCATTCTCCTATTTAAATTTATAATTTGTTTAATATTTAATTAAAATTAAATTTCTGAATCAATTAATCAAAATATTGCGTTTTTCCCATTGATTGGGTTTACCTTCTATTTCAATCCACAATATTCCTGGTCTCGATTTTACCTTAGGGGGTGTAGGTATGCTTCCGACAGATAATGGAATACTATTTAAACTAGTTGTTGATGTAGACGAAGTTGAATTTGTGCGCCGCGTTTTAAAAGTTATACCGCTGGATGTTGATGGGGGTGATGGGGTTGATGTTGGAGCAAAACATACCAGCTCAAGCGGGAAGTATCTCTCGCAAATTCCATTCTTTGTAATTGTTCTTACAATAACACATTGATGAAACGGATATTGGAGTTTTATCTTGTGGTGAGCATAAAAATACGCCGCAACCGAAACATTAAACGGATAACCTAAATCGCCAAAGGCTTTGATTAAATGAGCTCCTGATGTTGTAATTCCGTCACATCTAATTCCATACCTCAATCCATTTCTATCTGAATAAGTTGTCTCTACCTTCCCGCTTTCATTTATAAATTTTGCTATCATATCGGCATTTTCTTGACACATTAGTCTATATCATACAAGATAATTTGGGCAGTTCAATTTTTTTGAAATATCATCCAAAATCGAATTCATTTTTATTGATCAATTTAGAATATTTACTTAAATGATCAAATGGCTTTTAAACTAATAAGATTATAGAAGATTTTGCCTTTTTATATGCTAAATTTACACGCATAAACTGACAACTATTACGAAATCTGGGAAAGGGCGGGACTTGTTGAAATATAAAGGCAATATATTTACAACTCTCATTCGTCTGTTAATTTATTCTTTCAAAATAAAATTTGAAATTGAAAATAGCCAACCTTCATTCAAATTTTTGAATTCATTTATAAAAATATTTAAATATGTCAGTAATTGAGAATAACTGTCAACTCTTGGAAAAAGTTATTCCGGAGGTATTATTTACGGTTTCTTCGTATGGGGTGACAATTTCTTCACCACGGCTCATGACAGCACGTTTTGTGGAGTTTGACTTAGCAGGGAAATGTAAAAGTTGTAAAGGGGAAAATGTGGACATTGATTTTATTGTTACTCCAAAGGATGTAACCTTATATTGCAATCGCCTAAAATCAGAAAAGGTTGTAATGTTTGACCATATTTACGAAATTCCACAACAATGTATTTTTCGTGTTAAATCAAGAGGGAAAAATTTCAATATTATTCATAAAGAACCAAAGTGGAATGAAAAAGATTTTATAAAAGGAGGTGGGCAAACGAATATCAAGGAATTTTTATCGAAGTTTTCACACAAGAAAACAAAGTTAGAGATAGAAGAAGCACAAGAAAAGAAAGATGATAAAGAAAATATATTAGAAGAAAAAGATAATTCAATTACAACTCATAATCATTAATCATTTTATTTATTTTTTATTTTCAATTCATTGTCAATCATGAACTATCAAATATTTTCAAATAAAGATTTAAAATTAAAACTTCCATTTGGTTGTATTATTAGTGGCCCAAGTTCAACTGGGAAGAGTACATTTGTCCGGAAATTAATTTCCAATTATGATCAACTTATTGAACCTATTCCAAAATCCATTCTTTACTGCTATGGGGAATATAATTCTCTTGTTCCCGAACTACAGCGAGCCGGAGTCTCAGTCTACTCCGGAGTTCCCCCTGAGGATCTTATTAAGAAACAAGAACAACCTTCACTAGTCATTCTTGACGACCTAATGTACTCAATTGACGAAAAATATTTATCCGAACTTTTTACAAAGAAATCTCATCATCTTAATTTTGGCATAATATTCATCACTCAGAATCTCTTCGAGAAAAAACTTAGGGTCGCACGACAAAATTCTATGTATATTGTATTAACTCGTGCACCTAATAGTGCATTGGCCGTTCGAAATCTGGGAGTACAATTATTCCCAGGAAGATTAAATTATTTTCTAGACGCATATCGACAAGCTACAAGGAGCAGTAATTATTCATATCTATTTATTGATTTACACCCATCATCAGATCCAACACTTAGACTAAGAACCAATATATTTAAAAACAAAGAAACAGAAGACAATTATTATTCATTACCTATTATATTTTTACCCAAAAATTCTTCAAATTAAATCATGCCAACGAATGTTAGTCAAATTGTTAAAGACAATTTGCAATTTCTCAAACAACTCGCAAAAACACGCTCACTAGTTAAAAGAAGAAAACTTTTAAAAAAAGCTTCAACAGATCAGTTACTCTCCCTCACTGAAATTTGTTTTAATATAGTACGCGATCAATTTAAACTAAATAAAAGGCAAAAATCTCGTCTTCTACCATTCGCTGATTTTGTTCGCCGTGTGAGTAGATTAAAAACAGAAAAAGGCGCCCGGCGTACGGTAATACAACAAGGAAGCGGTTTACCAATTGGTTTATTTCCTGCCCTGCTAACACCAATCATTATTGAATTAACAAAGACATTGACAAACAATTTATAAAAATGGCAAATAAATTTATATTAATTCCTGAGGATATATATCGTGGATTACTTACTCAACCTACACCAGAAACTGGAAATATCAATTTGGATTTTACTCGAGAAAATTTGGAAACTATTAAAAGACAAAATGCCAACACAGAATTAAAAAATATAAATTATAATCAGGAATTGAGACGGTATTTACACATGTTGAAGGAACAAAATGATAGACCAATGAATGTTTCAATAGGACAAATGCAAGATCCTGCCCTGGAGCAAATTAAAAAATTACTTCCCCTACTACAAACAAGCTCCAATGAAAACCGTACAGTAACCGAAAGCCCCCAAATAGCTTTTAGGCAAAATATTACCGCATCAAAATTGTCCCCGATAGATGAAAATACTGAAGATGACCTTAGTATGCACACGGCAGAAGAGGAATCTCCCGATTCCAATAGAAGGATGGAGCCAAAAAGCACAACAATAAAAGAAAAAACAAAGGAGATTTTTGAAAATATGAAGCAAGAAAATCTTGATAAATATGACGTGAGCACAGATGGAAAGATTTTAAGTAAGAAGGGAGGAAAAGAAATACAGGGAAGCAATGCTCAAAAATCTATAGAGTGCATTCTTCGAACTGGAATAAGTGGGAAATTAAGATGGGGAGAATTGACACCACCTGGAACATCTGTTTTAGAAAATAAATTAAAAAGTGATAATAAAATTTGGCCGTTGATAGAGAAGGCTAGGGAGCATTGTACACCAAAAAGAACTTATTCAAAACAAAAAAGAAAAATACCCGAATCCAAGGAAATAGCTGAATCAAAATGGAGACTTCCCGCAGAGTGGAAATGATTTTAGATAAGCTTTACAATGATCCATCAAATCCGGCAGGATTTGCTGGTGTAAACCAACTATGGACAGAGGCTAGAAAAAAAGATGTAAGTATTAAAAAGAAAGATGTTGAGGAATATTTAGAAGGTCATAGAACTTATACAATTCACCGTCCTAGACGCATACACTTTAAAAGATCAATAACTTATCCTTCTGGATATATGACAGATGTTCAGTGCGACTTGGCAGATTTTCAAAAGTTATCGCGGCAAAATAATGGAAAGAAATATGCACTTGTTGCAATAGATGTTTTAAGTAAAAGAGTTTTCGCTGAACCTGTTCGCACTAAAAAATCGAATGATATGATTGATGCTTTTGAAAAAATTTTGGCAAGAATGGAAATGCACCCCCACCGAATTTTTAGCGATAAGGGAACAGAATTTTGCAGCAAAGAAATTATGGACTTTTTTAGAAAAAAAGATATTGAAAAATACACGGCAACTTTCTCAGAAGTCAAAGCATCTCTAGCTGAAAGATGTATTCGGAACATTAAACAGAGATTGTACAGGTTTATGAGTGAGAAGCATACATTAAAATGGGCAGAAGCATTACCGAAAATAGTTGACGCAATAAATCATTCAAAGTGTAGGGTTTTAGGAGGATTAAGACCAGTTGATGTAAGCTTTAACAATGCAAAGGAAATCAGAGAAATGGTATTTGGTCCTATTGGCAAAAATAAACCTCGAAAAAATCCAAGATTCAAGGAAAATGATTATGTCCGTATGTGCAGAAGTAAAAATATATTTTCAAAAGGTTATCTCCCAAATTATAGTGATGAAATTCTTCAAATAGATCTTGTTAAAAATAAGGCTAATCCAAATAGATACCGCGTCCGTGACGATAATGGAGAATTGTTTAAAGGATATTTCTACCCTGAGGAATTAACACGAGTGAAGAAAGACGAGAATACTAGTTACAGAATTGAGAAGATTATTAAGAGCAGAAAGAAAAAAGATGGAGGAAAAGAATATCTTGTAAAATTTTTTTGATTATCCCCAACCCCATTGGATAGATAAAAATCAATTTGTATAAAAGGCAAATTTTTCATTCCCCATAAATCATTTTTACATTTTTAAATTAATTTTCATTTTATTGTTCATAATTATTATTGAAATAAATAATGGCCAATACATTCTTTGTTGTTCGTCCTAGTAATGTTAGCGATTACCCAGATAATAAACCCAATAAATACAGAGTGCATCTCCCTAAGCCAATAGAATTTCAAGGTGGAAACTGGGTATGTGGGCTCTACAGTATCCAATACCCCCAGTCATGGGCTGCAACCATTGGCACTGACGTTAAACAATGGATCGAAATTAATTACAATCAAAAGAAACCGCATAGAATTGGAATTCCTAAAACAACACAGTTAACACCCAATGGACTCAGCTTCTTTTTAAAACTTGTATTATCCAATAAAGAGAAACCTAGGAAAAGACGTGATGTATCAATCGATACTTTAGAGGATGAAATTATCATTGACCCAGAAATTAATTTAGTGGCGGACCCAGTTAAGAAACGAAGAAAGAGAGAGGCAGATAGAGATACCGTGCCATTATGGGTAAAGGAGTTTTTTAACCA